CGAAAATACTGAACCGGAATCCGAACCAATTTTCTCGGTTCCGGTTAAACCGGTTCCAGTAAACGGTTCTAAAATCGTTGAGCCAGTACTGTGGCGGGTCTAACCGAACCGGTGGTCATGTCGAGGATATGGTGTACCCCATAGTACAATATTTGGTTCACATGTATTGCAATCCTTGACATCCGGACCCACTGATTTAATCACCCATTTGATTTATTAGTTGTCAGGCCAATTTTGACTTGAAAACTTATCCCTTTAATTATCCCACCTTCGAAAATACCTTTACATCATACAAAATAAAAAATATATTATACATAAATAATCAACTCACCATTAAATTGTATTGTGATAGCTATTCGCTTATTATACAGATTATCATATCAAACTCACAATTAATTACACAAAAAATACATGAACATTTAAACGGAAAGAAAATACTTAGATTAGTTCAACTAATTCTGCAAACACAAATTTGTGCAAATATACCCCATGTATATCATATTGAATTACTACAAAAATATCAAGGAGAAATGAAGATAATTCAAAATTAATGTTAGGGAATGACCAAATTAACAGTTACACGTGTGATAACGAGTTTGAAAGACCACATATATTAAATATGGAGTTACAGTGCAGTTCAAAGTCCAAAAAATAAGGCTTCACTTGTATATGTAGGTAGACATGTATTCATACTCGTTTTGCACAAGTCAGGAACGGACGACCTGGGTTGGCAGGGGTCCAAGAAGCGCAAGTCAAGAACCAACGACCTGGGTGGGTCCAAGAAGTTTGTAAGGCGATTTGTAAACCGCAATCGCAAAATTTTTGTTACTGGCCATTTGAATACAATCCACCATACCCGTTGCTGCTCGAACTCCTACACGATGTATTGCTACTGGCACTCATACGGGAAAATAATTGTAAAACGGGATACAATAGTCCGGATTTTTTCTTCAATATCGGAGGAAAAACTTAGGGTTTAGGAGTGGAAGGGGCTCAAAAAATGAAAGAGGCGTATGGCTGGTGAATATTGTATTTTAGAGGGATTACAGTCATTTTGCAAATAACCCCACAATAAACTAGTTCATTGTGGGATTATTAGTTTTAGCCCAATACAACCAACCAAAAGACATACCTAGCACTGTGAATCAATAATTTAATCCCAATATTACATATCTCATTCATACATAACTATCCAACCCTCTCAACCAAAAGGGCCCTAGGGGTACATATGTTCATGTATAATTAGTTTTATTTATTCTATATTATTTTTTTGGGTGATAGGACCTAGGCCTATAATCATCTAGTAAATACGACCTCTAGCCATATAACTTCTAGAAATATGACATCTACCCAATTTCCCATTTCATTAATTAAGATTACATTATTTGGATTGGTTCAAAAAATATCAACTTCATCTTATGTTTCCTAGACTATCACAATGGACTATCCATTAACCCTTTCATGTCTCATGTTAGATTTCAAAGATTCTTTTGATTGGTAGTTAGTGATCCAGCCCGATATCTCTTGATAGATCCAATAAAGACCAAAGGCCCAAATGAGGTCAAAAGGCCCCGTTAGGCCCATCAACGGAGAGGGCCCATCAAACAGCTGTTCTGTAGGCGAGAGGGATCACGCAGTGGGTCGCAAGCAGCCCACGAGCAAGAGGTCTCTCGCCCCCTCTCTCTCGCCAAGCTTCCCGCCGCTCGCCGGGTGATCATTACTGCACATGGGGAAATTTAATGCACGTCCGATCCACTGACAAGAGCAGAGGAATGTCGTTTCGGCCGCTGCTTTTTACACCTGCAGACGCCAATGAGATGACAGATTAAACTGAATTGAAAGTAATTTGGGGTCCGGGTGCATAATTACCGCGATGGGACAGGTAAATTAAATTGAAGAGTATTTGGCGTCCGTCCCTTTATGTAGTATAAATAAGAGCAATAAGTACAGGTAAAAGGAACGAGACAGATAATCATATATCTAAATTACTTACATAAACACAATATCTTCCTGAGGAAGTTACTGACTTGGCCGTCGGAGTGCTAACTCCGGCCTAAGTCCGGTTCTTTTTCTTCTTGTAGGTTTACCGTGATCTCAGATCCAAGTTCAAGCCTGCTTGAGCTCTTTAAACCAGCCCACTACGAATCCAGCCGGATCAAATGGCGCCGTCTGTGGGAACTCGTTGAGCAAAACTGTGGCAACGTTTTCCTATAAAAATCACCTTTATCTGTTTTTCGTTAACCAGGATACGTTTATCAATGGCCTCGTTTCCCAGCATAGTGAGGGATCTAACCAGTCAGATGGAGGCCGAAGCAACCCCAGCCCCGCAGGAGCACCAACCAGCCGTCGGAGAGGCCTCTACCGCGAGGGAGGAGACGCCGCAGGCAGCCAACAGCGCGGGAGGTAGCCCCATGGTCGCCATGACTATGGAAAACCTGCAGGCACTCTTGGCGAGCGCTGTCCAGAAGGGCTCTATGCGCACGTTAAGGGAGCCCGAGGCTGCGTCGCCCAAAAGAAGGATGGGGGAGATTGGGGGGCGAGGGAGCGAGGGACCCGTCCGCGCAAGCTCCTCGCTCAGTGTGTTAAGTCCTTTCTCAGCCGACATTCTGGATGACGATCTGCCTCACTCATTTCGACCTGTCACTTACGAATACTTGGGAACCACCGACCCTTGTGAGCATCTCTGTCGCTTCAATAACACTTCGGATTTGCACCGATTTACTGAGGGAGTGAAGTGTCGGGTCTTCGCGACTACGTTAGCGGGAGCCGCCCAAGCTTGGTTCAGCCAGCTGCCTGCGGGCACGATTGGCAGTTTCGACCAGCTAAGTGCATGTTTTATGGATCACTTCGCGAGCTCAAAGAAGCAGAAGAGGAGCACCTTGACTGTGTTCGCGGTCAGACAGAGGGAAGGGGAATACCTGCGAAGTTTTATCAAGCGTTTCATCTCGGCGACCTTAGAGGTACCAATTACCTCAGAGGAAGTTTTGATTAGCGCTCTAGCACAAGGGCTGCAGGCTGGCGATTTCTTCACTTCGCTCTCGAAAAAGCCTCCCGCGTCTTTTAATGCCCTGTTGAAAAAAGCGGAGCGATATATGAACGCAGAGGAGGCAGTGCATAATAAATTTGGCGATAACAAGGGCGGTCTCGAGGCGAAAAGGGAAAAGAAAGAGGAGAGAATGCAGAAACCGACTCAACTGGCGAGAAGGGAGGTGCAGAACGAGAGAAAAATAGGACCTCGTTTTGACAGCTATGCGCCGCTGGTCGCACAGCCAGGAGAGATATTGTTGGCCATAGAGAATAACCCAAAGTTGAAGTGGCCTCGCACGTATGCAGAGGCCCCGAGGAAAAGCCCCACGCTGGGGAGTTTCTGCCGTTTTCATAATGATTATGGCCACACCACCAACGAGTGCCAGCACCTTCGTGATGAAATCGAGAGGCTCATACGCGCGAAGAATCTGCCGGAGTTTGTGAAAGAAGGGAACCAGCGCCCGCAACAGTTCCCAGCTCGGCGTGCGAACGAGCCCCACAAACCAGAGCCGGGAAGGCAAAAGCTAAATGAGAGGAAGGACCAGGTGGCGCCGGCCAACTTCATCAGCATGATTTTGGGAGGACCTTCAGGGGGAGACTCCAACAGGGCCCGGCGAGCGCACCTGAGACAGTTGCGAGAGACTGAGGAGTTATTTGGAGAGATAGAAGAAGCAGATCGGGCAAGCCGCGCGCACCTCCGACGCTTGTGCGAGATGGAAGCTCAGCTCGAGGAAGTGCAAAGGATATCTTGCGTGCCGCCCATTATTTTCGGTCCCCAGGATGAAGAAGGAATCAGGCAGCCGCATTCCGACGCCCTTGTGATTACTGCCATGGTAGCAAATTTTGATATCGCGAGGATATTAGTGGACACCGGCAGTTCCGCAGATGTTATCTACTATGACTGTTTCAGAAAGATGAATATGGATTTCGAGTTAAAATATGTAGAGACAAGCTTGGTCGGGTTCTCGGGAGAGTCAGTGCGGTCGATCGGAGAGGTATGCCTGCCCATTTCTCTAGGAATGGAGCCGGTGCGAGCAACCCGATCCGTGAAGTTTTTGGTACTGGATGCGCCTTCTACCTACAACATCATATTGGGGCGACCGTCCATGAACTCATTTCAGGCAGTAGTCTCAACCTACCAAATGAAGTTGAAATTTCCCGTCTTAGATCAAATCGGGGAGGTCCGAGGTGATCAAGAGACCTCGAGGAGGTGTTATTATGACGCCCTGAGAAGAATAGGAAACATAGATGCTATTCGCACTATTTCCCCAGGTAGCCGGGGGAAGGAGGACCGGATGCCGGAAGTAGACCCCGCGAAAGAAGAAGCCCACGTGAGGCCGATGGAGGAATTGATGGTAATCCAACTATGCGAGAAGGATGCCTCTCGCACCACCCGCATTGGTGGCGGTCTGGATGCAGACATGTCTCGACAGCTGGTTGAGTTTCTAAAGCAGAATCAAGAAGTGTTCGCATTCACTCCCGCAGATCTAGGGAGTATCGACGAGCAGCTCGTGGTGCACAGACTAAATGTCAAGCAGAATGCGAAGCCAGTCAAGCAGAAGCGTCGGCATTTTGGAGGAGAGAAAGACAAAATTATACAGGAAGAAGTGCGGAAGTTGTTAGCAGCCGGACAGATCCGGGAGATCCGTTTTCCTACTTGGCTGTCCAATGCAGTTTTAGTCAAGAAGGGCGAGGGCAAGTGGCGGATGTGCATTGACTTCAGGGATCTCAACAAAGCATGTCCCAAGGACTACTACCCTCTGCCACGAATCGACCAGCTTGTAGACTCAACCGCCGGTTGCGAGATGCTAAGTATGATGGACGCCTCGCAAGGATACCATCAGATTCCATTGTGCCTTAGCGACCAGCCTAAGGTGAGCTTCATCACCTCCACTGGAACTTATTGCTACACGGTAATGCCTTTTGGGCTGAAAAATGCGGGAGCCACGTACCAGAGACTAGTAGACAAAATGTTCAAGGCCCAACTCGGAAGGAACATGGAGATATACGTGGATGATATGTTGGTGAAAAGTCAGAGGGCGAGCAATCATTTAGAAGATTTAAAAGAAACCTTCTGCACGCTCCGGCGCTACGGCATGAAGCTTAACCCCAATAAGTGTGCTTTTGGGGTGAAAACGGGAAAATTCCTGGGTTACATGGTAACGGAAAGGGGAGTAGAAGTGAACCCGGAGAAGGTGCAGGCGGTTTTGGATATGGAGGCACCACGAAATATCAAGGAGGTTCAAATGCTGGCGGGAAGAATAACAGCTCTAAGTAGATTTATATCTAAGGCGGGAGAGGCTAGTCACCCTTTCTTTAAAATACTAAGAAAGGGGACTCAATTCGAGTGGACGGAAGAATCAGGAAAAGCTTTCGAGCAGCTCAAGAGCCTTCTCGCTCGTCTCCCGCTGTTGGCGAAGCCCGTGCCGGGAGAAAAGCTGTATGTATATCTGGCGGTAGGCGAGTTCGCAGTCAGCTCGGTCTTAGCCCGAGAAGAGGAAGGAGTGCAAAGCCCGGTATATTATGCGAGTAAACTCTTGCGAGGGGCTGAGATGAGGTACTCCGAGATAGAAAAGATGGGCCTGGCGCTAGTGACGACAGCACGAAAGCTAAGACCCTATTTTCTTTCGCACGCAATAGTGGTTCGGACTAACCACCCTATGAAGACAGTGATGGGAAGGATGGAAGTCTCGGGAAGAATGGTAAAGTGGGCAGTAGAGATGGGACAGTTCGATATCAGCTACGAGCCACGGGTCGCCATTAAAGGGCAGGCCTTAGCAGATTTTCTGCAGGAGACGACGAGACCAGAGGAACAAGGAATATGGAAGGCGTTTGTCGATGGTTCGGCGAACGCATCAGGAAGTGGAGTAGGAGTGTTGCTAGAGGAGGAGGGTGAGGAGTTGGAATATGCGATAAAGTTGCCTTTCAGAGCCTCAAATAATGAAGCAGAGTATGAAGCAGTTATACATGGGATGAAGCTGGTATCTGCAGCCGGGGGCAGGAAGTTGAGCATATTTTCAGATTCACAGCTAGTAGTACAGCAAGTAAATGGCGAATTCGAGATAAAAAACGAGCGAATGGTAGCTTATTGCGAGACAGTACGGTCGATGATGGGCGAGTTCGAATTTTGCGAGCTAACCCAAATACCCCGAGAGGAAAACCAGCATGCCGATTTTTTGGCGAAGGTGGGAAGCATGGCGGTGGGATATGAGTCAAGGAAAATACAACTGTTAGTGGGCGAGCCATGTAGCGGGGGCGAAGAACGTGTTTCGACAGTGACAAGTGGGGAGGATTGGCGGACGGAAATAAGGGCGTGTCTGCAAGGAAAGGTACTAGCGAGCGGCCGAGCGCAGAGGGTCCTGGAACAGCGAGCAGGCAATTTCTGCCTGATCGGGGATATACTTTACAAAAGAGGATACACTAGGCCGCACCTAAGATGTCTATCTCTGGACGAAGGCCGTTACGTGCTGAGCGAAATTCACCAAGGATGCTGCGGGGACCATGCAGGGGGCAGAGCGTTGGTCTCGCGGGTGCTAAGGGCAGGATATTTTTGGCCCACTTTGAGAAAAGACGCGAGAGAGTTTGTCAAGAGATGTGATAGGTGCCAGAGGCATGGCCCGCTGATTCACACACCGGGAGAGGATATGACGATAATAACTTCCCCTTATCCCTTTGCACAATGGGGGATAGATATCGTAGGTCCCATGCCACTGGCCAAGGGGCAGAGAAAGTTCTTGATAGTCGCTGTAGATTATTTCTCCAAGTGGGTGGAGGCGGTGGCAGTGGCCAGAATAACGGATACAGAGGTCATGAAGTTCATATGGCAAAATATCTGCTGCCGATATGGGTTGCCTAGGGACCTCATTTCAGACAATGGAACACAGTTTAACTCAGCCAAGATACAAGGATGGTGTGCGGGTCTGGGTATCAAGCAGAGATTTGCAGCCGTGGCCCACCCGCAGGCGATCGGTCAGGTCGAGGTGATCAATCGGGTACTGTTAGAAGGAATAAAGAAGCGTTTGGACGGAGCGAAAGGAAATTGGGTTGAGGAATTGCACGCGGTATTATGGGGATATCGAACATCACCGAGAGAAGCGACAGGAGAAAGTCCGTTCTCGTTGGTGTACGGGTCGGAAGCTGTCATACCAGTCGAGGTAGGAATGCCGTCTAGTAGAATTATGAATTTTCATGAAACAGCTAATAACATGCGCTTGCGCGAGGAGCTGGACTTGGTAATGGAAAAACAACAAAGTGCGAGAGGAAGGATGGAGATCAGCAAAGCCAAAATTAAGGCAGCCTATGATAAGAAAGTAAGGCAAAGGGTCTTTCAAGTGGGGGACTTGGTCTTAAAACAGGCGGATGCGCTCAAATCGGTGGGAAAGCTAATGGAGAAATGGGAAGGACCATACAAGGTGGTAGCGGTTCTCGCAGGAGGAGCTTACATGTTGGAGGATATGAAGGGCTTAAGGATAGCCCGCGCATGGAACGTGTGCCATCTGAAGCGCTACTATATATAGCGCTAGTGTGTTATAACATTTTGTATTACAAGTATAGGCCATATTTTTGATTGTTCATCCGTCTGTCTGCGGAATGAGCCATGTTTTTTTTTGGAGTAAGAAAAAAAAAAAATGTGAAGTGGCCTCTTTTGAAAAACCGGGTATCTTGAAGAAGCTATAAATACTTACTCGAACATAAGCAAGCGAGCAGGATTACGAGCGACAAGTAAAAAAAAAAAAAAAAAAATCTGGAATATTTCCAGTATGAAGTTGGCGAGCGAGCATTGGCATCAAGCAAATCTCGCAAGAAAGTAAGAAAGAGAAAATATTGAGAGTATTTCTAATACGAAGTTTGCGAGCAGGGATTTGCATCGAGCAAATCTCGCTAGCTAGAAAGCGAGAGAAAAAATCTGGAATATTTCCAGTATGAGGTTGGCGAGCGAGCATTTGCATCAAGCAAATCTCGCAAGAAAGTTAGAGAATATTGGAAGTATTTCCATTACGGAGTTTGCGAGAGAGAATATTTGGAATATTTCCAATATGAAATTGGCGAGCGAGCATTTGCATCAAGCAAATCTCGCAAGAAAGTAAGAAAGAGAAAATATTGAGAGTATTTCTAATACGAAGTTCGCGAGCAGGGATTTGCATCGAGCAAATCTCGCTAGCTAGAAAGCGAGAGAAAAAATCTGGAATATTTCCAGTATGAACTTGGCGAGCGAGCATTTGCATCAAGCAAATCTCGCAAGAAAGAGAATATTGGAAGTATTTCCATTACGGAGTTTGCGAGAGAGAATATTTGGAATATTTCCAATATGAAATTGGCGAGCGAGCATTTGCATCAAGCAAATCTCGCAAGAAAGTAAGAAAGAAAGTTGGAAAATATTGAGAGTATTTCTAAATACGAAGTTTGCGAGAAAGGATTTGCATCGAGCAAACCTCGCTAGAAAGTTAGAGAACATTGGAAGTATTTCCTGTACGGAGTTGGCGAGAGAGAATATTTGGAATATTTCCAATACTAAGTGCGAACAAGAATTTGCATCGAGCAAACCTCACGGGGATGCGAGAAAGACAGTTAGAAAAATACTTGATGTTTCCAAAAAGTCATAATGAAACTCAAAAGCATGAAATGTAACAATAAGAGTAACATAATAAACTCAAAACGATAGATAGTGAAAATATCCAAATAAAAATTAACATGGTTCAGAAAGGAAAAAAAAAAACGGATTGTTCAAAGTTGCTACTAATGAAGAGAAAATATAAAGGCCTCAAGAAGGAGGGATATCAGGAAGGGTAGAGGCAGAACATGTAGGATCCAGGCGAGCCATATTAGAGGGGGCTTGTGCAGCGTACTTGTTCAGCTCTGCGAGCAGTCCCTCGAGCACCCAGCCCACCAGGCGTAATCCACGGGCTCAGTAGGATTTCCCTCCCAGCCGGGGATCTCATCTCCCAGCAAGTCAAGGATGGAGCTTATCTCTTCCGAGGGGTCATCAAGATTATGGCGAGCTGCATACATACGTAAGCCTCGATCCATGAAGCCCATACCTATTGGAGCCGCTGCGTTGGCAAAATGTGCGGACGAAGGATACTTGCGGGTAAGGCCCTCGCGATACGCTCGCAGGAAGTCTTGCCCATCTATCGAGCACAGATGGTCGTACAAGCTCCTCGCGCGTTCCAGTGCGACAGTCCTCATGCACTCTGCTTCCACCACCTCCTGTTTCTGCCGTGAAATAGCGATCAACTGCTCCTTTTCGTCCTGAAGGCGAGCGACCTTGCTCTCAAGAGAGGACTTCATCGCATTATACTTCTCATTATTTAGGCGAGCAGTCTCATCTCTCTCGTTCGCCAACTCGCGGACCATGTCTTGTAGGCGGGTGACCTCATTTGCCTTCTCGCTAGCTAACCTCTTCACGAAGGCAAGTTCTTCGGCCTGGCGAGTAGGATCTGTCGAGTCAAGACCATGGGCGAGAAGAACATTGATCTGAAAACAGTATATGAAGCTAAGTCATAAATACGAATATGCTAGCGGCGAGATGAAGATAAAATTGCACTCACCTGGGAGCAATGGAATAGCAGTCGGGAGTATTGCTGCTCGTGGGACATACGCTCGAGCGCTTGCGCATCCTCCACAAGCTTCAGCTGGTTGAAGTGTTGGGATAGCTCATCGAGACTGCGGTCAGGCGAAAGGGATGAAAGGAAGCCCTTGTCAGCCGGACGATGTCGCTTGGATATCGTAGAAGTGTGCTCGCCAACGGCGTCTCGCTTATGGCGGCCGACGTCGTAGGACACTTGCTCCTGCGAGCGAAAGGAATCATGCGCCTCTTGGTTATCGGCATTTTCGCTACCAACATCGATAACGGGTTGCCAAACAACTGAAGGGGGAGGAGTAGTATGGGTCTCTCGCCGAGACTCCGGGCGAGAGCCTGACCCGGTCGCCGTGCTAGCGGCCGCCTTAGGGGAGGGTGTGGAATCCGGAGGGGCATGGCTCGTGGACTCAGAGGGGGTGCGGGAAGACTGGGCGCGCTGCTTGGCGAGAGCCGCTTTCATAGCTTCTCGAATCATCTCGCCTGTTTGAAAAAGTACATGGCAAACAAGCAAGGGTTAACGATTATTTAAGGTGGAATAAGTCAAAATAATAACAAAATATGGAAATTATCCCTAATAAGTACCCAGCGGGCGAGGGTCAGACGAGGACATATCCCACAGTCCAGTGCGAGCAAAAAGAGGGGGGCTAGCTACTATCTTTTCAACATCCCACAATTGGGGAGGGGTGCGAGCAGTTAGCCGAGATAGTACCTCCAAGCAGGCGGGAGACACCCCAACGGGGCGAGGGGCTGTCTCAACATATGACGGATCAAAGCCCCAAGAAGTGGGCGAGCGAATAAATAAAAAACGTTTGGGCCAATTATGTACTTTGTTGGTCAAACCTTTAAAAAGACCTACGCCGGGGCGAGCTGTAAGATGAAAAAAGCCAGACGGAGACCGATTCACCTTGAAGGCAGAATGGAACAGCTCGCCGGAGGGAGTTACGGAGGCCTCGGCACAGATAATAAAAAAGGCTGACATAAACTTAATAGAGTTAGGAAGAAATTGATTGATGGGCACGCGAAATTTGCGTGCCACATCTAAGAAGAAAGGGTGAACCGGCAGCGATAAGCCCGAGAGTAGTTGATCAATATGCCAGGTCATATAGCCAGGAGGAGGGTGAAGGGAGTCTTGCGAGGGTGAAGGAAGAGCTAGATCGTAGGAAACGTCTATCCCTTGACGCTCGAGTAGGTCGCCAATGTCGTCGGGGTTAAGAATCGAATGTTGAGGGTTGGTCAAAATACAAACGGAGGGTTCCCTCACTTTTGGAATCTTGACAACCCCCTTCTCGCCGTCGGAGGGGGAGGTCGCATCATCCCCCCCTTTACGTCGCGAGAGGAGGGGGGCTTTGCCTTTCTCCTTCTTCTGGCGAGCAGAAGTGGCCGGTGGGCCTCGGGATTTGGAAACCACGGCCCTCTTTTTGGGCCTATTTCTCTGTTCTGAGGGAGGTCCGAGGCGAATTACAGGGGTTCGAATCTCCCCCGAGGAAGAAGATGAAGACTCGGAGGACATGGAGTAGAAACGAAGGGGGAGAAACACAAATAAAACTAAAGAGAAACAGAAAAGCAAGAAAGAAAAGTATGTACCTGGAGGAAAGGGAAGGACCGGAGGAGGGGAAAAAGCAATTTTCTCACGCCGGAGAAAGGAAGAGAAAAAAAAACAGAAGGGCTGAAGGAGGAGTGAAAGGAGAAGAATGGGGAGGACCCCCTTTTTATAGTCAGGGTATGAGGATTTGAAGGGACCCGCCTGCACCGCATTAATGGGGAGAGGACGGTGCAGGCGGCGTTTCGACTTCCAATAATAAAAAAAAAAAAAAAAAAAAAAAAAAAACAGTTTTAATTAAATAGACTAGTAAATTCAGATATTTAATTACTAGGAATTTGTGCGGTTTTTTCGGCTACGGAATGTGAAACGATGCACGATTATCCGAAGCAGTGCAAATTGAGTATGCTGAGATGCGGGTCGCTAGAGCGGGATACCTGTTGTCTCTCGCAAAGGAGCAACTCGCAGCCACTAGCATCAAGTCGCAAGTAACCGCGAGTGGGGGACTAGTTGATCCAGCCCGATATCTCTTGATAGATCCAATAAAGACCAAAGGCCCAAATGAGGTCAAAAGGCCCCGTTAGGCCCATCAACGGAGAGGGCCCATCAAACAGCTGTTCTGTAGGCGAGAGGGATCACGCAGTGGGTCGCAAGCAGCCCACGAGCAAGAGGTCTCTCGCCCCCTCTCTCTCGCCAAGCTTCCCGCCGCTCGCCGGGTGATCATTACTGCACATGGGGAAATTTAATGCACGTCCGATCCACTGACAAGAGCAGAGGAATGTCGTTTCGGCCGCTGCTTTTTACACCTGCAGACGCCAATGAGATGACAGATTAAACTGAATTGAAAGTAATTTGGGGTCCGGGTGCATAATTACCGCGATGGGACAGGTAAATTAAATTGAAGAGTATTTGGCGTCCGTCCCTTTATGTAGTATAAATAAGAGCAATAAGTACAGGTAAAAGGAACGAGACAGATAATCATATATCTAAATTACTTACATAAACACAATATCTTCCTGAGGAAGTTACTGACTTGGCCGTCGGAGTGCTAACTCCGGTCTAAGTCCGGTTCTTTTTCTTCTTGTAGGTTTACCGTGATCTCAGATCCAAGTTCAAGCCTGCTTGAGCTCTTTAAACCAGCCCACTACGAATCCAGCCGGATCAGTTAGGAAATTACCTTTTACCATTGAATTCATGTCTTCACAAATTGCAGCAAGTATAAATCTTTACAAATTTTTCCTTCTTCGCCATCCAGTTCATCACAAATCAAATTTCAACCTTTTTTTTCTCTCAGATCACAATTACTGTATTTTTTTTTTTCGTTACTCAAGTATTCTTCACAGGTTATCATAGGCTACCCAACTATAAAACTAAGGGTAAAAAATATAATAGCACCA